TGGAGTTTCCGTAACATGCTGACCTTGATAGACTCGCCAAAAGTTCAAGGAGGCCTACGACCACCACTTTGCGGCTACAATTGAGCGCGCTGAGAAGCAAGTCATCTTGGCCAAGCACGCTCGCCGGCTGCTGAACCTTGTGGATGACACGCCGATCGTGCCAGGTGACGTGCATCCTGCATTCGCCGGAGTCGAGGCAGCTCGTCAAGTCCTCACTGACGCAGAAGATGATCTCCGCAACTACCAGCTTGACATTGAGCCCATCCCATCGCAAGCCGGAAATCTTGGTGTTGGTGCCATGCCTGGCGTGGCCAATCCGACAAGCACCTCGGTGCCAGATCAGAGCGTCTACGAGAACACTGCTACAACCGGCAGCCCAGTGACTGAGGGACAATATGACACCAGTGGCTCAGCCTCGCAGCCTTTGGAGGAAGCTAATCGGGTTGAGAGGCTGGAACAAGCCCAAGTGCAGGCTCCAGTTGCTCACGTCACTTGAGGAACCTGTAGTAATGTATCGTAAAGGGGGGCCGTAGTAGTTTTTCTTTTGGACTTGCTGTCTATGATCATGTGTAGTAATGACAATGGCTTATGATTGCGATGTCATCAGTGAGACATGGAGCGTATATCTGGAAACCATGCGAAGGTCGTTGGGGTGATGCCTGGGGTGGTCTGGGGTGGTCTGGGGTTCGTCTTGGATCCGTGGCCTTTCTTGCGCAAAGAGCGAGGTGGACAGATGCTGAACGTGCCGAATGCTGGTGCCTAGAGGTTGGTGTCGGTGGCATGAAGTGTCCACAGTCGGGAGGGCCCATCCATCCATCCAAGCCTCAGTCTGTGCGTTTGGCGGGGACTACATTAGCGCGGAATGTGCCGCTTCCCAAGAAGACACATTGATCGAGCTCTCAACCTCAGCTGCGGCTTCAAATCCCCACGCAGTCGCACGAAGATCGCAATCCCCTCGACAGCACCTCCCTCGACTCCCCATTACCGTCTACGAAGCTCGCTGCCATCGCCATGGCGGACCGCAAGAAGAGGGACCGCTATGCGGGTGCGGCGTACGAGTTCGGTGCCAATGCGAGCGGTCAAGGCCTGGGTGGGCAGGCTGGAGCAGCAGTACCGCCAGCAGCGCCAGGCTATGGGGCGCCCGCTCCCTCATACGGGGCGGCTTCACCGGGCTATGGAGCGCCTGCTGCTCCCTATGGCGCCCCCGTGCCAGCCTATGGAGCAGCAGCGCCCGTGGGATATGGACAGCCTGCGCCGCAGGACCCCAATGCGCTCAATCAGCAGTTCAACCAGATGAACCTGGGGCCCCAGCCCGGACAGGCCGCCCCGCAAGCACAGCAGCCCACGGCGGCGACACAACAAAACCAATTGTTCCCCTCGGACCTCATCGCGCAGCCTTTCCACGTGTCCGAACTCTACAACCCACCCCCGCCGATTCATCTGCCCTCGAACGCCGCAGCCACGCCCTCCGAGTTCGCAAACGAGTCTAGCAAATACCTCCGTTGCACCCTCAACACCATTCCCACCAACCACTCATTGCTCAAGAAGAGTAAACTACCGTTTGCCCTCGTCATCAGCCCATACGCAAGTCTGCACGACTCCGAGGACCCCATCCCAGTGGTCCATGACCAGGTCATCAGCAGATGTAGACGCTGCCGAGCCTACATCAACCCCTACGTCTCGTTCCTCGACCATGGCCACAGATGGCGGTGCAACATGTGCAACCTCACAAACGACGTCCCCCAGGCGTTTGACTGGGATGCGGCGCAGCAGAAGAGCATAGATCGATGGCAGAGACCCGAGCTGAATTACGCCGTCACCGAATTTGTCGCACCCCAGGAGTACATGGTCCGACCTCCTCAGCCGTTGTGCTACTACATCATCCTGGATTGCACACAGGCAGCCGTCAACAGCGGTCTTCTTGCTGTGGTATCGCGCGTCATCAAGGAAGCTCTGGGCCGAATACCCAACGCAGACGGCCGGACGCGCATCGGTTTCATGGCAGTCGATTCGGGGCTGCACTTCTTCTCGATTCCATCAGACAACAGCGAGAACAACGATCCTCAGCAACTAGTGGTTTCCGATCTAGAGGAGCCATATCTTCCCATGCCTTCCGATCTCCTTGTTAGCCTTAGCCAGTGCCGCGCCAATATCGAGACTTTCCTCGATCGTCTCCCAGTCATGTTCCAGAATACCATGGTTCCTGGTTTTGCCCTTGGCTCCGCGCTCCGTTCAGCACACAAGCTTATCTCCCCACTTGGAGGAAAACTTACCGTCATTGCCGCGTCCCTGCCCAATGTGGGTCATGCTGCTTTGAGCCCCCGAGAAGACAAGTCGTTGCTGGGGACTGGCAAGGAAGGTAGCTTGTTGCAGCCTGCTAACAACTGGTATAAATCGTTTGCAGTCGAATGTTCGAAGAACCAGGTTTCGGTCGACATGTTCCTGTTCTCCTCCCAATATCAGGATGTTGCAACCCTCAGCAACCTTCCACGCTTCACAGCCGGTCAGACCTACTTCTATCCCGGATGGAACGCCGCAAGACAAGAAGATGTTGTCAAAATTGCAACGGAGTTGGCAGACTACCTGTCGGCAGAAATTGGACTGGAGGCCGTGCTGCGAGTGCGCGCTACCACAGGCCTAAGAATGTCTGCCTTTTACGGAAACTTCTTCAATCGCTCATCTGACCTCTGCGCCTTCCCAGCCTACCCCAGAGACCAGGCTGTTGTCATTGAAGTTGCGATCGATGAGACCATCAGCAAGCCCTTCGCGTGTCTGCAGGCAGCTGTCTTGCACACGACGTCTAGTGGTCAGCGCCGCATCAGAGTATTGACTCTCGCAGTACCCACGACAGAAAGTCTGGCCTCAGTCTACGCTTCAGCAGACCCGCAAGCAATTGCTACCTACTTCAGTCACAAGGCTGTTGAGCGATCCCTGTCTAGTGGACTGGATGCTGCAAGGGACGCGTTACAAGCGAAAATTATCGAGATATTGTCAACGTACAGAAAAGAGTTGGCGGGTGGCAGCATGGGCGGTGGTGGGTTGCAATTACCACAGAACCTCCGCGCTCTACCAATACTCTTCCTGGGTCTCATCAAGAACGTTGGTCTCAGGAAGAGCGCTCAGATACCTTCTGATCTTCGATCTGCTGCTCTTGATCTACTTTCTACGCTGCCTCTACGACTACTGGTTCAATACATCTATCCCAGTTTCTACAGTCTTCATGTACGTATTAAGAGCGTCACTCTGAGTCTCCTCAACTGACAGCGGGTTAGGATATGCCAGATGATGCTGGTGTGCCGGAGCCAACAACGGGCCAGATCACCATGCCTCCAGCGTTGAATCTTTCTTCTGCAGCCATCGTTCCGTACGGACTGTATCTTCTTGATGATGGTGTTAACCAATTTTTGTAAGTTATATTCGATTACAGCATTGGTTCTAGCATGGCTGATAGCGATAGGTGGATTGGACGTGATGCTGTCCCTGCACTCCTTGCAGACGTCTTCGGCGTCGAAGACCGCACACAGCTCAAGCAGGGCAAGGCATCCTTGCCCGTTTTGGACAACGAATACTCTGAGCGAGTACGAGCTGGTAAGCTTCAATCCACTACGCAATTCGCAGTACCTCCCTAACATGCACACAGTTGTCGAGAAGTCAAGAGACCACAAGTCGAAGGGAGTTGGAAATATCATACTACCAACGCTGTACATCATTAAAGAAGACGGCGACCCAAGTCTCAAGCTGTGGGCGCAGACACTGCTCGTCGAGGACCGCGCAGACCAGGGTGAGAGCATTGTACAATGGATCAGTAAGCTGAGAGAGAAGGTAAGCAATAACTCCACCCTATGGATGTGCCATCCATATCGTCCACATGGTATTGACCAAATGCCTCGGACCCGAGCATGCTGACTTTAGACTAGGTTGTACAGTAAGCAATCGCATGACTTAGCAGTATCCCCCCATGGAGTCGCTCGTAGGGCGAAACTTGGAACGCGTGGTCGATGGGCCGGGTTTTGCACGACGCAGCACGTGGTTTCTGACGATGGACTACGAAAGGAGAATCGTTAGAATAATGAACTTGGAACTGTTCCTTGCCCTCCTCGCCCCCTATCCCCTCTATCTGCATGTCATGACACGAGGGAGGCTAGAATATGCAACCAGAGCGCTAATTGGCTTTGCTTTGTCAAACAAATAAACTATATCATGGACACAAGAAACGCATCTTTTGCGACACACAATTCACATGCTCATACAGCTCGCTCCCCCCTCCCTACTCTCCTGTTCTCCGCATCCCAGGATCCTCCATCCTGCATCGTTCTTGAGCCGATGCTGCCCCTTTTTTTGACCCGTTGCAATTCGTGGGAGCATATGTAGTGTGGTGCTGTCGTGTAGTGCCGTTCTGTACTGCGTCGTACTGTGCTGTGCAGCGAGAAAAGTTCGCGAGATACTGCGGACGATAGGTAACCGTAGCTGTCCGTCATGGTTGCACGGAGTGTGTGTGGAGCGCATGTCGCTTGCGTGGCTGCAGCCGGCCTTTGTGGGGTGAAAATTTTGTGGGACAGATGTCGGGTGCGTGCTGTATGTTGTGCGAGGGTGGGGAGGGGAGCTGGGAGTATGGTGTGAGGGGATCTTTGGAGGAGGTAAGTTTACGGATGTGACAGTGTTAGCTGCAAGAAATGTTTGGGGTCTACATGGGCATCGGGCTTGGTGGTGGTGGTGATGGCGTACAGATAGATGGGTATCGGTAGGATGATGTATGCTCGTTTATACTTAGTAGGGAGTGGTGTTAGCAAATAAGTAGTCCTTCTGATAAGAAATAGGCTGTTGTTTCAGAAATATAAAATCGTACTAGCACATTGATATGACAGCCGTGCTTTACTATCTATCTAGGTACTGTTGTTATAGCATAGGAGGTCAAGAATATGTACAGCTGAAGCAATCTAGTGGTGATTGATGCTGCATCAAACGATCGTCCTGATGCTAACAAAAAAATAAACTCCACAAGGAACGAACCAGGATCGAACTGATGACTTCAGGATTATTTGCAACTGCAATCCTACACTGGTAAGGGGTTAATTAGAGCTCATTGATTTAGGTGACGGATCAAGCGTACCTCTACCACTGAGTTACCGTTCCGTTTTGCTGACTAACATTTCAATCATAATATATACTTGATGTGCAGTCTTCTGAGCAGCGGAAGTTGGTGGTGTCACTGCGGGGTAGCCTGACCTGGTCAAGCCTCATGTACCAGTAATCGCCCCGCCCTTGCATATTCCATGCAATTCACCCCACGACCGTGTGAATAACCTCAATACTTGTGATGCTAGTACTACAGACTTTACACAAATCTCGCACTACCACCGTCAGCCCAGCCTTTGCCCCCCAACACCATACCGCCATGGCCACCACGGATCATCGTTGGCGGCAGATTCGCTCGTCTGTTTCGTCGAGCTGCGCAAACCTGCATAAGCCGGAAAGCCATGGCTCGCGCTTACCCTAGACGTTTCATGAGTCTTCAGCTGCTATCTTCTATATACTCTGCATCTGCATGATATATTTGGATTTCACATTACAGGGTTCAGAATCACTCCCAATGCGCCACTCCAATGGCCTATTGTAACACCTCAGCCTTCCATTGCGACTTGCAAGCGGAAATACCATCGGCTGGAGCATGGCCGAAGAACGAAGAACGAAGCCTGAAAACAGTAAACCTCGTAAAGAGGCGCCGTCAGATGATCATGGGTGTGCTACCCAGTTCCTCGTCCCCGCATGTGTCCGCTGGTCCACGTACCAAACCTTCGAAGCCAGGTTCTAGGGGTAGTCCAGCCAAGGCTTTGTTCCTGGCCGTACTATCGCCGTTACCACGCTTAGAGTCGAGCTCCCATTCGAACTCTGCGAGAGTCTCGCCCTCAGCGCCAACGTCGCGATGCTCAAAGTTCATGGCTGGGCGCCACCCCACTGCCACATGGAAGCACACGTCCTGTAGCGAAAGCGAAAAGGCAACCGTAAATGATGCCCACTGATGGCCGGCAGAATCGCGGTGGCTAGTGTTCGCTTCGGTAAGGTACATGATTGTACCTCTAGCTAAGGTACAACATTTTCAGTGGACCATGTTCGAGTCCCCCTTGCATCGGCGCTTGCCCACGCACTTGGCCTGCAGCAGCCAGGCGCGTCGACCAATTGCCCCAGCAGCCCTGGAGGAGTTGCGCAGCTTCGCCCCAAGAGCCCAACGCCATGCTTGCAACCGTCGACACTAGCCTGGCGTCTCTCTGGCTGGGACAACCCGCGCCTGCATCTAGGGGCCTGGTCGGCCAAGGTGCTGTGCTTACCTACTTTGCCCCAAGAGCCATGGAGCATGTGCAACGGGTGCGTGGTCTCGTCATCAACTCGCAACGCAAGCACGCTCACGTTGCAGGGTTGGGGTCACGCCGTGGGCTGGCCCAACCTTGGAAGACTGCAAGGTATGTGATATCTCCGTGACTAGTTTCCCGGATACCGACCGTGGTGCCCAGATGCCCCGCCTGCATGAGGCCGCTGTGCCACCCAGACACGGGCCTTTGGCCATGGCCGCACGCACTGCACGCACTGCACGCACTGCACGGCTTACCTGGAGCCATGGGCAGTCCAGCGACTCCAGCCTCCTCCCCCTCTGCGTCTCTGACCGGTGGGCACGAACGCTGCCACCCGCGCTCGTCAGCTGGCCCTTGGGCCTAGGCTGGTGCCGAGCCGAGATTCGTCAGGTCCAGGGATGATCTGCAAGCAGCAGCTGGCTGCCGTAAGGTGGATCGGACTCTAACCCCAGCACCGCTGCCAGGCCATCTTCCAGGGCGCACGACAAAGCCGCTAAGATCCCGCCCGTGCCTTACCAACCCCTCCTCGCATGCAGTTGCAACGCAATCGTGAGCCAACTCCAGTCCCGCCCGCTGCATCGACCCGACACCTGTTCTCTGGTCTCTGGCTGCTGCCCTTGCGGTCCTTGCTGCTCTAGCTGCGTCCCAGAGCCGCAACTGCCGCATCTGCTCGTGCCCTGGTGTGTCTCGAGTCTGCACCAGCGACGGGCTAGCTGCGTCCCCCCGCCACACAAGGCAAGAGGGCGCCCTCGCCTTATCGTCGCGTCTCCAGTCCGCGCATCCGCCCTCCACCACGACAACGGGACCAGACTGCGCTTGCCAGGCCGTCGCAACCCACGCCCTCACCACGACACCATTCATTCCCCCGTGCAGCCTTCTCTTGTTCCTGGCAGTGCGCAGTGTCCGGATGTTGTCGCAACGCAGCTCTCTATTCGTCATCATCTTCGTTTCAGCCTGCCCATAGCCGCTTCACCGACGGAACGACCCGCAGCACCTCCTCAGCACCGCCTGCTTGGAGCAGCACAGCGACCGAGGGCAATAGAGAAGGGAGCTATACTCTAGGCTTGTAGCTGCTGTCTCTGCCCAGCATGTCGACGTTCCAAGCCGTCAACACGACGCTGACGGTACCGGAGTCGTTGCCAGGACGCGCTGGGGACGAAACCACACCAACCACGCCGCGACCCAATAGCAGATTCTTCCCTGAATCCAAAGCCGGCGACGCCGAGGATGTATCAGCAAAGACTCCCACACGCAACAGCTTTGCTGCTGGCCTTGCTGGCCAGCGACCTCTCCCCACTTCGCCCTTCACACCGTCCCGCGACCTGAGCGAAACACCGTCGAACAAGAGCGAACGGAGTACGGAAAACTCGCATCGGTCGACACAATCTGTGGCCTCTACGCAAGACGTGCAGATGGGAGAAGGAGGGGAGGACGACAAGGACGAATCCGACAATGACAGTGTGACAAGCGATGCGAGGCCATCCAAGAAGAAGAAAGGGCAGCGCTTCTTCTGCACAGACTTCCCACCGTGTAATTTGAGTTTCACGCGAAGCGAGCACCTAGCGAGGCACATTCGGTATGGGCATTCCTACCCCAGGGAATTCATAGCTAACATATTCTAGAAAGCACACCGGTGAACGACCTTTTCAATGTCACTGCTCCCGACGGTTTTCTCGACTCGACAACCTTCGCCAGCATGCTCAGACCGTTCACGTCAACGAAGACATCCCACTGGAGTCGCTCGCTGCGACCGGTACCCGATTCCAACGACAAATTCGGACGGACCGCGTAAGGCCTCCAGGAAACCGCTCCAGAGCTAACACATTAGGCAGTACAGGTGGCCACAGCCGGGGTCATAGTAGGAATTTGTCGTCGTCGAGTATCACATCCACCATGTCCAGCATTAGTGTGCTTCAATCTCCGGATGCACGACGTCGACCTCCGCCACTGGCCATGGCAAGTGACAGCGGAGCAAGAGCACGTCTAACTCTCAACACTATGGAGGCGTATAACCCACCCTTGATGGGCAGTCCTGGACCTCAAATTGTGGAATACGATGCTCAATCCAATGCACCAACAACTCCACAATCAGCTTCATTTCCCATGGGTGCTAGTAGTCCTGTCCGTTTTGGATCTGTCATGCAGTCCCCCGCATCCACGACTTCTAGGCCAGTTTCCTGGGCTGGACCACCACCCCCTGGTCGACGCCTGTCAACCTCTTCCAATAGCAACCCCTTCTCCGGCCCCCCCGGTCAGGGTCCTCCTTCTTACATGACCCCATTACAGTCCTCTGGAGCACCAGCCTTCTCTGGGCAAAGTAGTGCATATGCAAGCCCTACGGCATCGAACTTCTCAGAATCTAGAAGGGACTCGAATGCAGATGCGGACTGGCGAAGACGTACGTGGCATCCAGGCACGTACACGGGCCCACGGCCAGCAACGAGCGGGCTCGGCTATCATCAGACACCTGATGCACCACGGCCGTCCTACACGTCACAGCCTGCTGCATCACAGACTACAAGGCTGCCAGGAATAGAGAGTTTCGACTATGCGCCCCCTCCACCGTCTCTTCCTCGCCGCCAGCCAAGTCCCATGCAGATTGACGCGCCGTCCCGTCCGCTTACGTATCACTCACCCGGGTCTTCGCACGGGCCTATCAGAGGTCACCAGAAACGCACAAGTATCTCATGGGAAATCGATCGTCTCAAAATCGGAAGCCCAAATTCTCCGCGAGAGCCATGGGGGCAGTATTCTGCAAGCCCTGCGCAACCTAGCAACGGACGGCCTACGACTGCACCACATGGCTACTTTAGTAGTCAACGGCAGCCTATGAGTGCTCCCCAGCCAATTCAAATTCCGAGTATAAGCTCGCCTAGAACCTCACAAGAACAGCCCGCAACGCCCCGGAAGAACAAACGTCAAGCGTGGTACAATGGCCCGCTTGCTCAGCCGCAACGAACTTTGCAGCGTACTTCTCCAGAAGACTCGAGCAGCAGTGAGGGCATTCCCACTCCCGGTACTATGAGCGAACACCACCCTGCCATTGTGCACAGCAACGGCTATGTAGAAGTGCAACCAGTCGGTGCCCGTGTGGAAGAACACAAGCGTACCCAGTCTGCGTCAATCATGGAAAGGCCACATCCGCTGAATGCTCCACAGTCGCCGCAGTATCAGCACTTTCATAATCACACCTTGTCTAGTTCAAGCTATCGTCCGCAGCGCGAGCCCGAAAGAGGTGCAGCAACATTCGGTCTTCCGTCGCCTCAGAACAAGGACAACGACATGAGGCGATTGGAAGCACTTGTTGCAGTTGCTACTGGCGAGCGGCAAGCTGTGGAGCATCGTTCTTGAATATTCTTATACACAACAGAACAGATTATCATGAACGTCTGCGAACAAGAGTCCTCTTTTCTTCTGAAACAGTCTGCTGTCACTTTGAAGTCAGTTTATCCAGAGCTAAGGTGAAGAGCGTTGCACGTCTGCCAGCTCTCACATGACCATTGTCACGATTTACAACCACACCACTCGTTCCATTACGCCAATGTTGCCAACGATGTTACGGCCGCGATTTATATTACGAATCTCTTTCCATCTAACGCAACGACATCTATGTATGATTTGGCTCAGGGCCAGACGAATCCCAGTCTTTTGGTCTCATTTGTTTGCCGCTGGTGAGGGTCCTTGTTGCCGCTTTCGATGATACCCATCCATCAGAGCTCCTGCTCGATTCGCCTTGGCATCTGCCAATCCTTTAGCCTGTCCTGGCCGGGTAACATCTTGTGATTT